GTGTGTGTGTGTGTATATATATATATATATATATATATATATATATATATATATATATATGCACGCTATGAAAATTCAAAGGTACATTTTTTAAATACAATAAATATAATACATGATCGCTACTCCTTTGCGTATCGAAATTCTCGATCCTGTCATTTATCTTGTTTCTTTCTTGTTTTAATATTTTTTTTCTTCTTTTTGCTTTTCGATCATACGGACGGCTACTTTCAGCGGAAGATAAAACTCTCTCGTTTACGTGTTTATGATGAATTTTAATAAAACAGATGGAAAATTAATTTCCAGCCCTCGGCTGACTTCTCGTTCATTTGTGAAAGCGGACCTTTCTTGTGCTTGCGTGAGTTTAACGAGTTTATTTACGAAAACAGGCTTTCACAATGTCCAATATTCTTTTTTTTTTTTTTTTCTATTCTTCTCTTCGTGTAAACTGAAATACATATATATTTGAGTGAATATTTCAAAAATATTCTATTTATCAATGCGTATGATCTTCATGCTTACATGTACACATACGAATAATGATATTATAATAATAATAATAATAAATTAAAATTTTGTTGAAGCGTTAGAATTCGATCGAAGCCTTATAATTGTCGATGATTTACTCAAATTATACGCACCAGCTGTTACTGGTTGTCTCTTTAATACAATCAGAGAACTTGTTTCTCTCAGATCTCTAACGCAATTTTTATCCTGTATATATATCTAAATTATGTTCGCACGATTTTACAGTTCTATTATTAATAATAGTATTATTATTACAAAGTTATATCGGATATGATGATTGCTTAACACACACGAAGAAGGAGCCGGTGATTGATCGCGAGTTTTTCAAAAGGCTTTCTCGAAGCATCTTGTTATCATTTCCTTTAGAATATCTTTACAACACTGTGAACAGGCAATATTTAATTACGATATTATAGAATTTATGATTTGGGCCCTCTTACGCAAATGAACTAATGCAATTAGTGAAATTTTAAAGTTACAAGTTAACAGTTCTAATAACAGTAATTGTTGTATATTACATGGTAACAAGTTTGGTAAAAAAGAAACCAAAATTCTACAAGTGAATTTTATAAATTACCAGCTGATTGTCCTGATAAATATATTATATTCCACATAATATTATAAAAATTGTTTTGTACAAACAGAAACTTACAACTTGTCACTTATCAATTCACTAATGTTATTAGTTGATAAATTATTGGGTAAGAGAGCCATGGTATTATCTGTCTTTCTAGCATTTCCATTTCTTTTTTTATTTATTTTGTTCTTTTTTTGTACAACTCCCGATACCTTTCAGACCCAGGATAAAATCCACGATGTTCGTTCGTTTTCAGCGACATTGGTCCCTTTTATTTTCTTTCGTTTTCTTTTTATATATTTCTTTTTTTCATTTTCCTTCCTCGATTACCGGAAGATCGTGTCACTATTGCAGTATCATTCTGCATTCCCGTGAACGGAAAAGCAAACCAAGATCGTTGAAACGGAAAGAAAAATGACGGATTTTAACATAGGTCTGAAAAAACATAAATAATATAACGTACTCCTAATATGACATTTCATATTTATATATAATATGTATATATATTTATAAATATATTACATTTCTATCTTTTATTATATATATATATATTATATATATAATTATATATATATATATATAAAATATATATATAATTTTTATAAATTATATTCTAGAAAGGAAAGGTACCACGATCGATAGTCACGTGTGACTCTACTTAGAGCATTATATTGCAACAATATTTTAATTCTCTTTTATCATCTTAATTTATATAATATATAATATATATATATTAATATATATATAAATATATATCTATATATATATATAAATATATATATATTTATAACTTTATATACCACTTCATTTGCTATTTACGTACATTAACTTGACACGTCAAAAAAATACGTGGTTTTACCTGCTGTTGGCTATAATCTCGCGTATCCATCGATAAACTAACATCTTTCTTCGTTTTTTTTTAACGAACGCGTTACGCATCCGTACAAACATCCGAATTCGTTAAAATGAAACGAGTAAAATATTTCATCGATGACGCATAATTTCTTCTCTCTTTGCTTAGAATACTTCTTGCTACCCATTTAACACGATTGACTAGCGATTACAAAAATCTTACGACGAAAATTGTTATAGGCTTAAAGGATCAACGCTTGACAAGAGTACTATCGTCTGCCATAGGTTTATTCTAACATGCTACAGTTATTTTTTTTTTTCCTTAAATATATACTTATTTGTATTTTTCACTTCATTCCTTTTTTTTTTTGTTATTTTTATATAATCTGATTTTTTGCTTGCTTTATTTTTCTTTCCTTTTTTTCATTAAATTGATTTTCAAATATTACATTGCTTACACATCACGGAATCGATGACGATAGTTCTCTTCAAGAATTAAAAAAATTGATATTCAACAAAAATTAATCGTAATAATTATATATCCGTTAAATATATGATGTAATTTTCACGCACATAAAAATATTCTTTTTTTTGTTATGATCAAAAATATGAACGATTTGTTATATGATATAAAATAAATTTTGTAAAGTACAATCATTAGAAAAATTTATGAAGAAACATAAAAATCAGAAATATATAAAGTATGGAAAATAAATAAAAAAGAATTGTTTAAATTCAATCGCTTTAAATATAAAAATGTACAACTAAAGTGTAAGAATAAAAAAGTTCCGATAAAAAAATCTGTAAAATATTAATGTTTAATGTTTATGAGAAACTAAAAAAATATATACTATATACTTTTGTTAATTAGCTAGCAATCTTAATATTTAGCTAATAACGTGGCTTGGCCGCATCTGATATTTCAAAAATACTTGTACGAAATTAAAATGTAAATACTGTAAAACAATTAACATTATAATAAATGAAATGTCACTTATCTTTTTTAAAGAAAAAACATACAATATATAACTTAAACAAAAAATTTACCTCATTTTTGTCAACTCGATGATCGTGATAACAATAACGATATATATAATGTATACATTATGTTCTTATAATTTTTTTCTTTCAATATATTCTTTTCTTCCACAATGAGATTTAAACTTCAATTATTCGATAAATCTTTCAATGAATATTATTTTTCATTTAATTTCGACGGATCAAAGTTCGTAACATTTTTAACCGAATTGTAATACATTAACCACCAATGGCTTCCTTTCTATACAATCGCAAAATTGAAAGAAACCTTTGGATAATCGATTAATCTCGTTCGACATATCGATGTGTTTAGGACGGCAATCGTTACATTTTCTCTCTGATTCACGCCATTTTCAACGACCATCGAGAATTAATTTTTGTGACAAAAACAAGATATGTATATAAATCAAAAAAAATATATCGCGATATGATTATCGATAATGCGATACATTGTGCACTAAAATTTTTTAATGCACTAGATATAAGACTAAAAAGAAACTTGTCTTACTACGGCTAGTGACGATAAAGTATTCTTTTTTTTTTTTGTTTTCCTTTTTTAAATATACGGATAATTATTACGCGGTAACTCTAAGACGATAGGTACACGATATAGCAATAATTTCCTGTTCGAATAACGCACGAAACCGTCTTTTTTTTTAAGCGTAGGCCGGACTAACTCGTCTCTCTTTAATTTAAACATAACCTCTTTCGTAGCTCAGTATATAGAGCCAGAATCCTTTTCTCGAATTCTCATTCTGACTAGATTATAATAAGTGCACGAATGCAGATGAATCAAATGCCGATCCTTGTCAATTGGACAGTCTTTTTGAGATTATATTAAACATATTTTTTTTTAATAATAACGAAAATTATCGAATTTTTTCAAACTCGATACGCGTTTAATACTAAATAATTAAATTTTATGATGTACCAATAAATAAATAATGAATTTAGTTTTTATAAAATCAATTACTATAGACAAGGATATGGCACTTAAAACTTAATACATGGAGAACATTATCGATTCATCGGTCAATACATCGATAGGATACTATGTATATTCACTGGTCAGTAATTATTGCTATGCAAGCAAAAGCTGTAAAAAGATACGATCAGCTACATTTACATGCGAACGATCATTATTTCGCGTTAATGATCGAAAGTATGACACTGTTTTCATAAAAGTGGTGTCATTCATATATATTTTTATAATAAATTAATTCTCCTTGTACTGGCGATCTTCATCTCGTACATTGTTAATTTCTAAGCTCATGTAACAAATACACGAGATATGGCTTTGTCCATACTTCGATTTTATAGTGCTGCAATTTGTACTTTGAGATCTGCACAAAATCAAAGCACGTAAAGAGCAGCACATGATTTAGAGGTATTCTACCAATGAATTTTTTTTTAAATGAATCTAATATCTACGGAGGACATAAAAATGTACGAGTATGACACAACAATGATCACGACATTAAATAACGCGTTTTTAGTCGCACCAATAAGCCATTCGAAAACAATCTGGGGCTGAATGTTTGTCATCCAGTGGCTGATTGGGAAACAGTACGCTAAAATATTTTTTCTTTTTTTTTTTTTGTTTTGCTTTATATTACTGCATGATTTCGTTGCAGTTCCTTTTATTTCCGTTTATAATGACTAAAACGTATTATCAACTAATTGTTATACTATCAATACTATTTATCAATTAAATTTTCTCTTTAACACTATTAACGATGATTGAAGTTTATACCAAAGATTATATCGGATCAATGAGATCGTGATTTATTCACAATCTTATCTCGTAATTCAAGATTTACAAGATTTTATGAAACATCTGAACAAAATCTTTGGTATACACTCAACGGCACGAAATGGTGGACTACGTGCTCAAATATCAGAGTATTTTTATTCTTTTCTTGTAATTTCTTAAAACTTGTTTTTCTCCTATTTGGAATTAATTTATTCTTATTAGCCGTTAGGGCATGACTCAATTCAACATAATCTCCATTGGTTTTTTCTCACGCATTATAACGTTCTTATGGTGCGGATAAGGCTCGACTATTTCATCACTTAACACTAAAGAGCTTTCAGCTTTTTCTAATTTAAGTACATGAGTTGATGCTTCAAGCTTTTAAAGACACCTAACTAGAGACAACACGTATTTATGAAGATTTCGGAAAGTGCATCGATATCGCTAGGTGGACTTTTTATAGTTCTCTTAATTCGCTTAGCGGTAACTTTACGCGTTTAACACGCATATATATTTCTTGTATATGTAAACTATACTTTTTTTGTCAAAGTCTGTATTTTATTAAGACTCGATATATAGCAATATCGGAGAATTTCATGCGATCATCGCTTTTGTCTATTCTCTGATATTCCTTATAGCGAGACGTCTTGTCCACTGGAATTTAGGCATATGTTAAAATAAGTTAAATTTATACGTATAAATATACGTATATATATCATTTTATGTTAACTTTGACAGAAACCACCTGTGGAATCTGTCGCGTCTGTGATAGTTTAAAATTCTATATTAAGTATGAAACTCCATGACCACCTGATCAGATCGTATCCTGCTCGATCTTCACCACGTGAGCATGATTCTTATTTTTATTATTATTATTATTATTATTATTATTATTATTTTGTTATATTTAAATCTTTCTATCGAAGAAGCGCTGCGAGATGCTCCTCTGAGTAAAGCTCGATGAAAAGTTTAGATCGTTCGAAGATGCAAAATCTTATTCGAACTGGAACATAACTTCTCGATTCTCTATATAGTTATTCTATATGGTACTACATATGCACAGGTTTTACACAGACTCGACGTTTATAATTATACGTGCTGCTGGTGTTACTTAAAATTTAAGCCCAGCTTATGTTTCAGTCTTGATCACTAGTGATTTGATACACTACGCTAAGACCTAAAACTCGACTTATTTTTTAAGCAATAATCAGAATAATTCGATTATCGTGTTATTTTTTGTATTTTTGTTGTAATAAAAAATAATTCTCGTAAATTATAACAAAAATTAAATCTGTATATTAAGTACACAAGCGCTAAAAAAATAATAAGTGCCAAATCTTTATATATAATTAAGCAATTTCTAAATAAAAAAAAATTCCATACTTTGATGAAAATTTTAATAAAAAATTAATATACGATTATATTTTTCTTATCTTGCAAACTTGTTTCTGTGCAAATATTTTTTTCTTCAATGATATAAAACGTTGCAATGATTAAAGCATATTCTTTAAACAATACTTTGAGAGGAAACAAAATATACGCTTAAGTTATTAGAAAATTTTCATTGAATCAAATCTTTCATCAAGAATATTATCAATAGAAAAAATGACAGATCGCCCAGCAATCTTTATCATCATACCATTGAAAATGACTTTCTTTGCTATTTTTGTACTAATTTTCTTAACCGATATTTTATTTTTTTTTTATTATTGTGAATTAAGTTTTTCATTTACGTTTCCTCTCGATTACATTTGTCCTTGTTTCAAATAAACAAAGGATATCAATTTTGCCAAACTTTAAGATATTTGAATCCAAATCTTTTTTTTTTCTTTTTGTCAAATTGAGGCTATATTTTCTGTTCTGATCAGTTTCTTTGCAAAAATTATTATTTTTTGGACATAAAATGGACTTTAAAGTTTTTAATTGATTTCAATTTCTTGTCGATCTCCATCACTATTTTTAGCTTGAATGTTGCTTTCAATGACTTGTAAAATCATCTCTCATAAAGATAAAATACAAAGGAGACCTCGAGCAGCTTCGAAACGCCGATGTTCAGCATTGCTTTATTGCTCATCATTTTTTCAAGCAAAAAGCATTTAAGATGACATTAACATTGAATCCTTTTCATTCATTCATTCTTACTTCTTACTGTGTTCCAAACCTAGCCGGATTGAAGTCTTTGTTGACGAAAGAGAAGCCTTGGAATTCTTCTTGATTTATATAGCTTAGTTCATCTGGATCTTCTGGTGTCAACACTGGATCTTCTTTTGTAAATTCCGTATCGAAATTCATGACATCTTTTTTGCTTTTCTGAAAAGTTACATAATAATAAATGATTTCTAATTAAAAAATAAATGAATGGAATATATATATATATGAAAATTTAATACAAACTTACAGTTTTTGGTCTAATTGGCGGTTTTACTTTACGTGCTTCAAGTGCTTCCCAATCTATTTCTTGAAAAAATGGATGAATTTTTATAGCATTTTCACCACCATTAGCTGCAACACAACCTAATCTTTTAGCTGGATTTTTCGTCATAAATCCTTTTAAAATAGAAACAGCTTCTTTTGAAATCCAAATAGGATAAAGCACATCATCTCGTAAAATGGATTCGAATAAATCATCTTCATTATCAGCTTCAAAAGGTGGTTGACCAGCCATCATTTCGTACATTAAAACACCAAGTGCCCACCAATCAACACTTGCACCATATTGCAATTCTTGAAGAATTTCAGGTGCAATATAATCAGGAGTACCACAAAATGTTGTTGTGGTTGTTTTTCCTTCAATAATGCCCTCTTTGCACATTCCAAAATCTGCTAATTTACAATGACCATCTTGATCGAGTATTATATTGTCTAATTTAAGATCTCGGTAAATAATATAATGCTTGTGGAGGAATTGCAATGCAAGTGTAACTTCTGCTGCATAAAAACGTGCTCTTGCCTCATCAAATTTCCGTGCTCTCTGAATATGAAACATCAAATCGCCTAAAAAAAACAAAATTTTTTTTGTAGTAAACAATAATTGATCTTTAAAATTTTTTATTATTTCAATGAATTCTTACCTCCATTTACATATTCCATAACAAAAAATAATCGATCATTTGTTTGGAAACAACTATGAATAGCTGTAAGGAAAGGATGTTTTGCTGCCAATGTTAAAATCCTTTTTTCTGTCATTGTACAATCTACATCATCGTCTTGTATAATTACATCTTTTCTTAAAATTTTTACAGCAT